GGGCGATGGGGCCTTCGCGGTTGGTTAGCCCCAAGCAGGGCTTGGGGTCCCCGCAGGAGGCGGCAAAATCTTTTCCCCGAGCGTCGTCTTCTGAACTACGACTGAAGGGACAGGTGTGTTACAAGGGCAACGGAGGCAGACTGGATGGATGACGAGTGCTTGATTCAAACAGCCGGACTGGATTTGTTTACCTCGTTTTAAGGAGAAAAAACAAAACAAAACAAAACACCTTGATAAATCTCCAACTATCTGCAGAAGGGGTTCCTGGGCTCTTATTACAGAAGCTGAAAGCAAGCTAGCTCTTGTTTAAAAGGAAGAGTGAGACACCCGATGGACTCTAGGGCCTTCTAATTAGCTGAGGTGGCAGGTGCTATTAGTGGTTTTATTTGGTTCGCCTGTTCTTTGTGTTTATGGTAGCTTTGCTAATTTTAGTAAGGTATGCTGGCTGTAACCGACTAGCGCTGTAGCAAGCAAAGTCTTCCTCCTGTTGGTTTTTCAGCATCTTTCTAATTGGAGATGTTAGATTGCTATCCTGGGGCCCCACTTAAACATTTCATATAAAAGCGTGATCAAATTATGTTGTGTATGGTTGGCAGCGGTGTGTGTTGCTCCCTATAATCACTTCTTGTAGTGTGATCAGTAGTATTTCAAGTATCTCTATGTCTGCAGACTGCAGCTGAAAATCTCTGTTCTGGTTCATGTACGGCCGTCTCTGGCTCACAGGCTAGAAATCAGTGAAGGCGGTTTTATGTTAGACTTGTTTCCAGTTCTTTCAACATCAGCATAAAGGCCAGAGTTCGAATGCAAATCAGTGTGCACGCACTATCATTAGTCAAATGTGAAAAGGCATCTCTTTCTTTTTGTGCAAATCTATGTACACTGCTCTGCTAGGAAGCTAGATTTGAGATTAAAAATACTTAGCTCAAACCGCTTGAGAGGAAATGTGTTGGTGATGTTGGTGAAAAGTAAAAGTCCTTTAAGGGTATGACCATATTTCAGAGGAATTCTGCCTGTAAATGACTGAAGTTGAGACTCAGGAGTACTGTAATTTTTAGGTTTGGGTTATAACAGATGTCAGAAAATCTCTGAATAACAAGAAGGGCAGGATAGTCTCTGTTTCATTACTTAAACAAGACCCTAATCAGAGAGATGTTACTGGTGTTTCTTGTAACTTTAACTGTACCAGCCAGTCATGTAGCAGACAGCTGCAAAATGGGACAGAGCAAAATAACTTTATCTGTTAGTAGTGCATATAAACTATGTTGGGCCTTTATTTAGTTCTGAGCAAGTCTATGCTTTTTTTGACTGTAGAGACTGTCTGTCTTCTCTTCTTCACTGCCATTACCTTTGGTAGGGTGTTTTATTTTGCCTTAATATAAATCATACTTTCAGATTTGGATATGGAGTGTTCTTGTGGGCCTGCCACAGGAGATCAGAACAAATGCTGGACTTGTAACAAGTAGAGCAAAAATGTAGCCTGTAGAGGGCCCTTACCTAGTGGATAATAAGTTGAATGTGGGTCAACACTGAGGATGGCTATTTGCATCCTGGGCTACATTAGCAGGGCCATAGCCGTTAGATTAAGGAAGGGATTGTTTCCCTTTATTCAGTACTCGTGAGACCACATCTGGAGCACCGTGTTCAGTGTTGAGCCCTCCAGCAGAAGAAAGATATTGCCAAACTGGAAGGAGCCCAGAGGAGGGCAGCCAGTGTTGTTAGGTGGCTGGAGCCCGTTCTGTCTGTGCCAGGGCTGAGGGAGCGGAGTTTGTTTAGCCCAGAGAAGAGAAGGCTTAAAGGAGGTCTTGCTGCTGGTTCTTCATGAGTGGTTATAGAGAGGGTAGCGTTAGGATTTTCTCATGGGCGCACAGCAAAGTGATGAGAGGCAACAGACACAAATCGCAGTAAGGGAAATTCTAATCAGAATAAAATAAAAACTTTTTCACTGTGAGAGTAATCAAGCACTGGAACAGGGGCCCAGAGTGGGTGGTAAGGCAGTGCTCTAGATGCTTCTGGGGTTAGCAGTAAAGATGATGGCAGATTTTAATTCATGTTACACATGAAGGCATAGATATGAAAGTAAACTTATAAAACAGTAACCATTGTATTTGAGGTATTGCATCTGATATTAAAAGGATATCTAACGTTAAAAAGACAAGTAGTATTTTGCAAGGCTGCCATATGTGGCCAGGACTTGAAATTTACCTGTTGAGGATTTGGTGTTTGGAGAAAGTCATAAACAATTTAAAATGTAGTAGGAGGCAGAGTGTAACTTTAAGTAATCTTTAAAGCTGTATAGTCACCGCAGGGTTTTGAAATATGTTTTTATGCTGTAACTTATGCTCCTTATTGTTCTCTAGTTAGTAGGTGGAATCAGGGGAGAAGTCCAGGCATAACGATCTGATAAAAATTATAGTGTTGAATCCTACTCCTAAATCTTGCTTGGTCTCACAGGTTGTGTTTCTTGTCTTTCTTTGCTGTGGGTGTTTGCTGCTTGACAGGTTCTGAAAACTAGAATGAGAAAATACTTTCTCTTGTTCTCTCTCGCATGCTTTCTCTCCTCCATCCTTTCCCCCTAATTCACCTCCACCTACCTGCTCTCACATGCTTAAGAAAAACCATGCACACGTGCATGCACACAGGAAATGCATGAAGTGTGTGTCATTAAAGCCGTGAGCTTATAGATCACTGAAGATGAAACCAGCGGCTCTTCGCAGTGTGCTCAAGAACGTTCTGAAGAACGAAGATTTTAAAGCCTGGATTAGAGGAACAGGCGTGGATCATGAGAGCAATGTCGCTGTCAGAAGATCAGGTTTCTTCTCATTGAAAGGAGTTATCTTGAGCAATGTGGGTAAAGGGAAATTTCGAAACACAGCAAGGATGTTCCTTTCCTTCTATCAAGATGGGAAAAAAAAATTGAGACTGGGCGATAAGTGAGATGAGTTCTGCTCTGCTATGTGCTTCAACTTCTCATAGCAAATATTGAGTAAAATTGGTCCTGCCTCCTTGTTTTCATTGTCCTTAGGGTTCTGTTAGCATTAGCAAAATTATCTGCTGAATTTCAGTCATTTGTTGCTTGTGAAAACAGAGGAAGAGTAAAGGAGTGATAGACATATGTCTCTCTAGGCCTAGGAACTCTGCAGTCATGCTGTAAGTCACTTCTCAATAAAAACAAACACACACACACCCCCAAATGTGATTGTTCTTAATCCATCTCTATCCATCTGCGTGTGTACATTATAATGGTGAAATATTTTCCCATTTGGTCTTGACTCTGAGTCTGGGCCAAAACTTTTCTAGATAAGGATAAATGTGTATGTTTTTTCCCCCCCCCCCCCCCAAGGTCCTATTTATTTTGTTCTGGAACTCTAGCATAGCTGCAGAAGCACATAGTTCATCTAAGAAGCATTAAACAAGCCGAATAACAAGTTTTCCTCCAAACAGTACAAATCTAAGGAAAAAATGTTGCTCCGAAATTGTGGAAAGCCTGGAATATCAACCCAGAGAGGTGTAACTGAAGCTTCTTAGAAACTGGGGTGGGAGGAGAGAGTCTTACACATAGACACAGTAAAAACAGTAGATACAAATTCTGAAGGTATTTTTGTGATCTTTTGTCCTCCTTTCTGTTTTTTTTTTCTGTTGTGCTCTGAAACTTGCATTTTACTGTCTGTGGATTTCCTGATACGGTTTAAGGTCTCTACATGGGTGAGACCTGCTTGAGACCATCTTTCTGAGTCATCATGTGCTTGTGGTTAGTGGAAGTGTTCAGTAGGTTTTTATAGCATTGGATTTAAGATTATCATGTTTCCTGTTGCAGTAAATGCTTGGGAGAAGGTTTTTAATGTTCTGAGTATTGTGTTAAATGATAAATTAGCCTAATAACCAACTAGTCAGTACAAATTTCTGAAAATTGATAATACAAAAAGCTGCATAAATGCTTTTACTTTTTGTAAGATAAAATTTTGAATGAGATAAAAATCTTAAACTATCACACATTTTTTCAAGGTAGAGTAGGCAGCATTTCTAGCACAGAACACAAGAGGATTAAAAAATGAATAACAATTTTACTGTATGAACCTTTCTGCTTCTAGCAGGGGCTGCTGAGATGTACTATGAATGGTATATGAATGAAATGTGTCAAAGAGGTTTCTGTGTGATTAAACAGTAGGCAGGTTTATGCCTACCTTTTTTGAGGATTTATTCATCTGCTCTCTTTTTTTTTTTTTTTAAATTAAACAGGAGATGATAGATAGCAATGAATCCTGTACTGCAGGACAGATACCTGTGTCCTACTTTGCCTGCCTGGCTTACTTACTGAAAGAATGGACTGGCGTGGACCATATTGAAGACTATCTGAGTTACGCAGTCTACCTTTTATGGGTGTTTTTTCCGCTCATAATAGTTTTTCTACTTCCGGGAGTTATTCTCCTCTTCATCTACGTTTCCGTTATCTTTGTTCATATTTATAAAAGGAAGAATGAATTAAAGGAAGCTTATTCCAATGATTTTTGGGATGGTGCAAAACAAATGTTGGCTACGCTGTGGGATGGACATGCAAGAATATGGCATGGTAAGTAAGATCTGACTTTTCATTAAAATGTGCTGAAGCTCTTATTCCTAGGTTTATCTTTCAGGCTTATCAATGTACATCTTATTTTTGCTGCCATTACATGAGATTTGAATTTTGGACCAATTCTTTTTTTTTTTTTCCTTCAATTTGTCAAAATTGCCAGTTGTTCTTCAGTCATTCTGGACTTGGGAGAAAAAAAGCAGATGAGGGTTTTTTTGGATGTAAAATTTGCTTTCTTATGCTTTTCTTATGCTGCTATAAAATGAGATCTTTCATCCAGCTGAATGTATGCAAAACTTTATTGTTTAAAGTTCTTTTTTCTTTTTCACTTTTAATAACTACTGCTGGATTTTCTTATTCCAGGAGTACCTGAAATGATAACTGTCTTAAAAATTATTTCAGTTCATGAGATTCCAGGAGTTCTTTAGCAAGCAAAACAAAATGAACCAAATTAAAAAGCCTACTGTTCGTTCAGAGTGCATATATGGACGCTTAATGTCAGGTCACCCATTAGTTGCTGCATGAAGTTGAGTGTGGAGCCCCAAACTGTTACTTGTGCCTCTGAAGCCTACTTTCTTATTTTATTTCCATCTATGTATTTTTGACAACTGCTTTCTCTAGTAGAAGAATGTCAAAACTAAGGGCTCTGTTCCCTGTCCCTCTGCTATTTTTTCTTCTATAAAGACAGACATAATAAATGATTTGGCTTTTCTTTCTAAAGAAATCATAAGCCTCTTTCAGAACCATTCAGTCTAGATGCAGCTAAAGGAGAAAGGGATGTTTAAGAGCAATTTACATATAGAACAAATCCTTCTTGAAAATCATCTCTATTTGTTCTCCAGTCAAAAGGAAGTGGTTTTCAAGGCATTGATAACCAGATGGTGCAGCGGCTGTATCAGATAGGCTTTGTAAGGCTGAGATGTAACTTTCAAATCTAGGAAAGTACACTAGATCAAAATCAACAGCTATTGCAAATAGCTTAAAATGTTCACTTCATAATAAAAAGTTATTTACTTTTTTTCCATAAGAAAATGATTTTTAAGGGCTTGGCTCTTCTCATCCTAAGTAACTTTTTCTTTTTATAAGGTCTAACTTTTTATTTACACAGAAAAGATTCTCATCCAGACCCTCATCTACTGTTGTGACTTTCTTCTCTGCCCTGTGTGCTGCTTCCCATGTTCTGTATACACTTCTCTTACTTCAGAGTGAATTGTTTTATGATTTCCCCCCCTCCCCCCACGCTTAATTAATTGATATATCACAGGAAGACTTTTTCTCTTCATCCTGAAATCTCATAGCATTGCAAAAAAGCCCACCAAAAGTAGTACATGATACCTGTATCTTTATATGCACATGCTAGATATAGGTATCGTTCTGGTTATTTTCAGCAGGCGTGGAGCAGAGTTAGTGGTCACTTCTGACGGTACGGAAGATAGGTACGTGTATGCTTGTACTGTGTTGCAGACCCAGAAGTGCAGAAAGTAAAAGTCAGTGGGAGAAGAGGCAAGAGAACAGACAGAATTAAAGAATGGATGAAGTGAAAAATACAGAACTAGTAACTTCAGAAGAAGCAACAGTAAATAAAAAAGGATACTGTAACAAAGCTGCTCTATGTTATCTGAATATATTCTAAACTGATCAGTTATTTTATGTTAACTGTATATATTCTGCCTGCAAACTTAATTGGAAATGTGTGTTCAATAAGAAGCTTGTACCTGTTCATGTATGTTGCAATTAAACATAAATCCTGCTTCTAATTTAAGCCCCGAGTAAGTTTTAGTTCTTACTGGGGGGAACAGGGTGCAAGTGTATTCCCTAAGAGAACTGATTTTGAAAGGCAGATAATAGCTTGAAATAGTTGTATTTCACCACCTATCTGATCCTTATTTTGATGTCTTTTGAATGATTGAGTCAGAGGACTTCTGCAGCCTTGAAGGTAGTGAAATGAAACAGTAAGGTAAAATATTATACAGCAGTTCAAGACAATGATGCTATTTTCTGGTTGCTTTTATTTTTTTTTTTAATTGCAGCTTTTCTGTTTTAAATTAAACTTTTCTTTCCTATGAAAGCAAGTTAGTAAATGTTATAAGTAAGCTCTTGTTCTCTTAGCAGCCATTAATTGCTCTACCACTTCTCAATAGCTGTTGGTTTCAGCTTGCCAATTTGATTAAAGGTAGTTTTTTTTGGGAATAGAATTATATAAAACTTTGATATGCTTTATGCCTTTTACTCCTAACAGGTTATGAGCTTCATGGTATAGAAAATATACCAGAAGGACCAGGGCTTATTGTGTTTTATCATGGAGCAACTCCTGTTGACTATATTTATTTCATGGCTAAACTTACTATACTACAGAAAAGAACCTGCCATGTAGTAGCTGATCATTTCGTCTTTAAATTACCAGGTAACTTGCTTCATTATGACCAATGAGTTTGAGGACTCAAGTAATTTCTTTTTACTGTGTAAATAATAGAATTTGTGCCGCAGGGCTACAACTCTTAGAGCGTATATTCAGACAAATTTATTTAAAGTCCCTTGGGGAAGAGCTGTCTCTACCATGTTCTTTACAAACAATGGTGGTCTTATGCAACTGACCCATGCAAGGGTGGGTTGTATTCCTGGCTGAGCGGCCCCTGTCACTGCTTTTAGGGTATATAGAAACAAAGGAAAGGAAATCATAGGAGAAACAGATGTGTCTGTATTAGTCAGTAGCAGCAACTTCAGTAAAATATTTTTCCTCGTTATTAATATAGGCAGAATGAGTGTAAACTGATTAAGAAATATGCTATTTGGAAGCAATGTCCTTAAAATTGGCAGTATTAGTTTGGGGGGAGGATGCCTTTGCATATCCTACCCAGCTGAAGATGGTGGGCAGTGGAGCCTGCCCCTGTGAAGACGGTGCCAAATAGAACGGAGTTTCCTGGAAGAAGGCTAAAGAGGCGTCCTGCAAGTTTGTGTGAATTTTAAACACCTTGTTATCTTCCCTGAGCACCAGTACAGCCAAATATGCAGCTGATTATTCAGGTACTAGTTACAAAATAACCAGTACATAACGAAACTAGTTATAAAATATACCTGAGTGCAGACAAATGTCTGTGGAGACCCAACTTTTTGTGCTTAGGTAAAGGACGAAGCTTTTGTGTGAATGTCTGTCTTCTCTGCCTCTTGCACACAGTGTAATTTCAAGTGCTCAAAGAGCTCAAACGTCCCAAAGTTCAATGTGATTTAGTATGTCCAGAGCTGCAAAGTCATGTGTATGTTATAGGCATAGAGGTGGTCCTTTCCTCATTTCCTGTTCTTTCAGTACAGTGGTGCTGATATCTTTATTGTTATTGAGCAGCACAATTGAGGGAAAACAACCTTTTGTCACCTGTGTCAGCCATCATTATTTTTATGGTATCATAGCCTAAAAAATTATTGTTTTAAAAAGTACATCCAGAAAAGAGGTTTGTTACACGAATATATGAATACAGTGAAGTTTGTGTGTCGTCTTCTCCCCCTTCCAGCCCCCCAGCTTTTCTTCTCTCTGTGCATTGCTTACAGTGTCCTTTCCATAGTTCCCTACAACAACCTCTGAGGTACTTAAACATTCCTCCCATACTTTCTACCTGTTTGATTATGCTTGTTGGTCAGACGTCTGCTGCCTCAGAACAAGGTAATGGCTGTAGTCTACCTGTTTCTCTATCTAGGAGGTACAGATTTGCTTCCCTTCCCACTTACCATCCCATTGAGCCAACAGTTTTTCACAAAATCTTGAGGTTTTGGTTTGTGATCCTGCTGTTAGATTTGATCAAGAATAAACTCAAGGGGCGTTTTTGAGTATCAAGTATAAACCAGTTGGAAAGACACTCACAGCACGACTGCATGACATTCTGGTTCCTTAATGAACCAGACTAAAATGGAGAACCACATATATGCAGTGCATCAAGGTTCATGATGCTGTAAGGGTGTTAGCTTATTTCCCCTCGTTTACCTTCTGAGCACAGTGTGTGTGGTCATGGAATTTCATCTGTTGCCCTTTAAAAATGATTACCAGTGGAAGAGCATGTGAGAAACAGAAGTTCAGGGCTGCACTAAATTACCAGCCTGTATAGAGTTGTCCCTCTAAAGAACTGTAAAGAAAATAGACATTTAAAAGGCAATTAACAGCAGGAACCCGCTTCATGTACTCTGAGTTGCCCTCCTGTTGACTACAGAGGGAGTCCAAGGAGATCAGCTAGTTAAATTAACTATCTAACTTAAAAGCATCTTGTGTTCCTATAAGGTATAAGGTTCAGATTCTTTTACAATGTTGGTTTCATTGAACCTGTCCCTTACAGCATTTTGGTTTTTAATTTCTTTTTAATATTGCTCAGGGTTGCATTTTTCATAAATGTGCTTGTGAACTTGTAAATTGCAGCCAATGATGCATAGTTTGGATTTTCAAAATAATGATGTTGTTGGTACTGTCTGAGAAGGGAAGCATAAAAGATGCCTGGGTTTGCAGACTGGGGAAGGAATGTACAGGGTTGAGGAGACAGTTTAAAAATTTTAAATTCACGTTATGATAAAGCATGAGGAAGGTGAAGAGTATGTTAAGGACAAGATTTTGGTTGAACAGCCCAGTGGAAAAACAGTTGATCAGTCATGTTAGTTATGTGAGTTTTTGTTTATTTTAAGGGTGTGGGTTTTTTTTTTTTGAGTTTCTAAAATACATTAATACCCAGTCCTTCTTCCAAGTTCAGTTGAAATAAGTTGGAATAACAATCTCATAATTAATTTTGTGAATTTACAGAAGGAGTGTTCTGTAGTGTACTGATATACAACATCAGCAATGCTTTTCATGGAAACAGCTCATATCACAAAACTGTTCTTTAGCCAATAAAGCTTCATTTCAGTCTCATTCCCTGAAAGCAGAACTTTTCCATAGAGGTAAAAGCATAGTTTTGCCTCTGCAACTGCTCTTGCCAACAGATAAAGATTTGTCAGTTGATTATCAAATATTTTATATATTCCTGATTAATGTAACCAATTTTTTAATTTAGATTTGTCCCCATATTGTATGTGTTAATATTAATGTGCAGTTCTGTATCAAAAGGAAGATTATTCTGTTTTTCTCAAGTTTCTTCTTTAAAATGAGACTCTAGATGTTGTGGTATGAATAAACTTAGGCTTCCCTCAAATATAATTTATTAGTATTGCAGAGACATCTAACTGGGGCTGATCTCAAGGAATTTAGTTCAGCAGTACAAAATCTAGCTTGTCTAGCAGACTGTTACTAGTGATATCGCTCAGGGGTGGGTACTAGGGCTGGTGTTGTTTAACGTTTTTATTTGATTACCTGGATGATGGGTTGGAGTGTGCTTTCAGTGAGGCCACTGATGGTATTGAATGCACAGTTGATGCACAGGGGGTTAGAGCTGGTGTTCAGAGTGACTTCACAGGAATGGCTGACAAATGTCATGAAGGTCAACAAAAGCAAATATGAAGTCACGCATCTGGGATGGAATAATCCCGTGCAACAGTACTGGTGAGACAGTGAGTAGATAGTGGCTTTGCAGAAAAGATGCTGGGCATTCTCGTGGACAGCAAGTTGAGCCTAAGTCAGCAGTGTGCCCTTGCAGCAAAGAAGTTCAATTGCCTTTATTAGCGTGTGTAACGAGCATGTTGTGGAAAGAGATTCTTCCTTGTTATGCGGCACCTGTGAAACCACGTCTTGGAACACTGTGTCCAGTTTTGGGCTCCCCAGTACAAGAAAGACGCTGACATACCAGACTGGGTGCAGTGGAGGGCCACTAAGGTGATTAGGGGGTTGGTGCACACAGTGTATGAGGATAGATGGAGAGAACTGGGTTCAGTAGGTGTCTGAGAAAGATTGAGAGAGGTATTATTGCTGTTTTCAGCTACCTAATTGATGGTGCAAAGACCACCGTCACACTCTTCTCAGAGGTGCACAGGGATGAAAATGAGATGCAACAGAAGCAAGTTGCAATGCAAGATATTCCGATTAGGCATATGGAGAGGTATTTTTGCAATGAGGGTGGTCAGACACCTGAAAGAATTGCCCAGAAAAAATTGGGAAAGCTCTATCCTTGAAGATTTTCAAATCAAAGTTGAGCGCGGGCCTGAGCAGCCTGATCTAATTGGACCCACTCTGGGCTAGAGGGAGGAAGCTTGGACTAGATGACCTTCAGAGATCCCTTCCAACCCAGATTATTCATTGACAGAATCTGAGAGTAAGGCTGTGCAGGGAAGACAAGCCCAAGGAGCCCAGATATTATTTCTGATCATGTTTTGAAATCTGTAGTAATCTAGGATTGGGTGGAAAGAGCTGCTTCTGTGAAGCAAACCAGAAAGTTTGCTATCATTTTAGCTTGCCTGATCTAAGACTGCCTGATCTTGATTAAGTCTTTAAATTAAATTGAATGCCTTTCCAGAAGGTGCTTCAATTAACCTGAAGTTAATAGGCACAGTCCAGAAAAAATGGGGAGAAAAAAGCTATGGGGTGTGTTAAATACACTTGGTTTAGGTGATTTAATGAAACTTCTGTTTTTATGACTTGCGAATCTATTATGAACAGCTGTGAGGAACGGCTTGTTTCATGAATCTGAGCTGTGAGGAACGGCTTGTTTCATGAATCTGAATGTCAGGAACTGCCACGATGCAGTCTCATTGCAACTTCTGCATTGGGCACTGTGTCAATAATGTTGTATCAATACTGTGCTTCTGTTGCTTACCTTTGAGGGGCAGAAGGGATGTGAAATGTGGTCCTGAGTCTTTTTTTTTTTTTTTTTTTTCCAAATGAATATTGAAGCTAGGTCACAGGAAAGAAATATACTGGTGTTTTTATGGTCTGTAGATTCTCAGCTGTGTAATGCCCCGGATTAAATTGATTTCTCCAGAGTTCAGTTAAGAGAAAGAGTGCAGTGAGGACTGAGATTTCATTTGTGATGTTCTTCCCTGTCATCCTGCCTATAGTATGGGGCATGATCTACTTCCTGGAATTCTCTAGGCACTTTATTTAAAAAGTTTCCTGCCATTTTAGGGATCTCGGATGGTCTCTCTCCTGTAATGTCCCAGAGGAAAGGAACTGTGGTTTCTTGTCTGTTATATAGACAAGGTGATGCAAAGTTAGCATCTTTTCATGCTCTGGAAGGATGACAAACTTTGCTTAAAATACTTTCGAGGGGAGGTTTTGTTGTTGTTTAAAGTGAAAAAATAGATTATTAGTCACTTGCATGCTACAGCAAAGTGCTGCCCCACTGCTACTTCTCACTCTGTGATGACCCTTATCCTGGCCATAGAGTATGGTGGCAGGCCCCTCAGGGACGCTGCATTAGTTCCTCTCTCTGTTGCCGTAACTTAGCAGGTTCTTCCCCTTTGCTCCAGGAGCAAAGGTGTTAATAATAATGTAGGATCTGCTGGTCAGGATATGAGACATAGCTCAGAATGTAAAGTTGGTCATAGGGGCTGAAAAGTTTTGAGAGAGCCAACTTGAAACTCCACTACCACTAATCCCTCTTGCAAAGTATTGCCTATATTCTGCCTATATTTTCTTCTTGGTTTTTGACCTATAAGCTGGAGAGACTCCCATGGAGTTGCTCTGTCATTTCCCTCCTACTCTGGCATGCCCATTGCAGAAGGGAAAACTATTTTCATACCTGCTGCTTCCTTGGAGTCTCTCTTCCTGTTTGGCTCTACCTTTCTCGTTAACGTTTTGTAAGAAAGAAACTTAGAAGCAAGCAACTTTGTGCTGCCATGTACATTCCAAAGAGCTATAATTAGTTTGGGATGTAAAATCATGCAAAATCCCCTGAACAAAGCATCTGAAAGAAATGAAATGGCTTTAGGAAAACTCTATTTCAGGAGTCTTCTATTCAGATGCTGCTAGGTAAAGACTGCTAGTGTTACCTGCAGCGTGTGAGGCAGACATAGCCAACTATGAGACAGTGCAAGACAAGGACCTCACAGAACTGGATGAACCTCAGCTGTAACAGAGCTTGTGTTCTGTTGTCATGTTTGTGGATAATTCTGGCTGTATATAGATATAAATGAAGAAGAATTATTCTTCACACCAAAACCTAAAACTAGTTGGAGATCAGAATTCAGCTAAGAATAAACTAACGACGTGCTGACTCGTGCTTTCCTTCCCAAGACCTTAATATATATGGACTGTAAGTCAAGACAGAACTCTGTCTTCTTAAGTACATATACTCTTCTTCTGTGTATGTAAGAAATGTGTACTGAGAGTAACAAATATTCTTTTGTTAAACCCAGGTTAAAAAGTGAAGATGTATTATTGAGGGACAAACTTGACTGGAGCAATTCTGTACTCCTTTATATGGTTGATCAGGTTAAGTTTGCCTCAGTGGGAAACTTCAGGAAAGAAGTAATCTTTCCCATCCTGCTCTGCCATCTAAAATTCCCGTTCCAGTATTCATAAAAGCTGAGTGAATGTAAAATATTTTGAACAAAGTGAACATGATGGACAGTTTCTGAAAAATGAGGTTGCTGCTAGTTACGTTCCTTCACATTAAGCTAGTTGTCTACATTGCATAGGTATGTGTCTATCTCACACTTGTAAACAATTTTTGATGTTTTTCTGTTATTGAAAAGCAGGGTCAGTATGACACTTCAAATTCAAGATGGTATGAAGGGTTTATGTAATTTTACACTTAAACACTTAAGCAGTAGATGAAAAAATCTGAACATGAGGTGAATATATGCAGAATGGTCTTTGTAGTGAAAGGTCGACAGTATACTTACAAACTGAACTGTGGAATTAATACCTGCAGTGATATGGAACATGGAGAATGCTGCATTTTATTTATTTTTCTCCTTCTTTTATACCCACTGCCCTTTGTTTCCCAAAGGGGGGAAAAAACATAGCAATTTGTTGGTCTGCTTTGTTAGTGGACTTTACTAGGACTATGCCACATCTGAAAAGTAGAGCTTGGGCAGGGAGACAGTGCCCTGGAGCAGACTTAACAACTCCTTTGAAAGAGTACATTCAAGATGGCACTGAGTGCTTGCCTTTTTTTTTTTTTCAAGTTTAGTCCTGACTGTGAGATAGCATCTGACTTTACTGTGACAAAAAGACACTGAAAAACCTAAATCAACTTGATAGATGAAAATTTACAAGCAAGGCTTAATGCTTCAGCCCTTCCAGAAACATCTCTGATTCAGGGATATAGGTTGTTAGGTAAGTTTTAACCATTGTGTTCCGTTTTGGGAACGAATACTCAATGGTAATGTGAATTAACATTTTTCTCAATTAATATTATCATATCCTACAGGTTTTAAGTTATTACTTGATGTACTTGGAGTTATGCATGGACCAAAAGAAGAATGTGTCAATGCTCTGAAGAAGGGCCATCTGGTAGCCATTTCCCCAGGTGGAGTTCGGGAAGCACTCTTCAGTGATGAGACATATGTTATTATATGGGGTAATCGAAAGGGCTTTGCTCAGGTGGCCATTGATGCAAAAGTGGTAAGTGTGACAGATCACAGAGGAGAAGCAAAGAATGCTAACTTATTAATACTTTCTTCCAGGGAAGCTGTTCTGATGATGAAATATTTTAGTGTTAAATTGCTGAGTGTCATGAATATGTTCTACTTGCTCTTGTAACTAAGTTTCAAGATTATTTTTCTCCCTTTTGAAAAGAAGGTTTTTGGAGTCAGCTAAGAATATTATGATCAGGAAATCTGGGAAATTGGGAATTCTTAAAAGAATGGGGGATGAAATTCAGGACAGTTGCTACATTATAAGCTTGTGCTGCTTTGCACATAGGTGGTCAGGGTTGTAAAGGCACAACCTCTGACCAGAATGATTGCAAAGCAACCATACATCAGTAGTTGTATTTCCTCTGTTGCTGAAGTACGCTGAGACTCAGCAGACCGGTACTCTCTGTGATGTTATATTCATACTGGAATCATTGTTGCTATATACTGTATTGGCATTTTTATGGTAGTGAGGAACCTCTAGGTTATGTATACAGCAGCAGGAAATGCTGTTCACTAGTGTGAATGATTTCTCTTCAGTTCTATCTAATACATAGCATTATCTGCCTGCTGACCAAGGGGACTAGTTGAGCAAGGCACATATATGTATGATATGTTTGAAATGTAACTATTTTAATAATCCTTTCAGATCAGACTCCCTCTCATTCTGTACTTGGAAGGTGTGTACATATGCTCACGGGTCTGTGTATGCCTCAGTTTAAAAAAAAAAAAAAAAAAAAGGGTGAGGGGGAGGGAAGCATCACACCCAGAGTTTTACACTTAACCAGTCTCTGTTGGACAGTAAATAAAACTCTGGATTTCAATTTTAAATGTGTGACACTTTGCCCAGGAGGAAAATAATGCAGTATAAACAGATATTTTCAACAGATTTAAATTTTATTAGGGTATTGTAATAGCACATGAAAGGCCATACTTGGGATTCAGCTATTGTGGTTTTATTTATTTTACTTGAATGTATGTTCAGTTCCCTTTGTGCTACTTACCATAACTGGTGGGATGGAGTAGACTAGGAACGGTGTTGGAGGCAGGCTGGAAGCAAAGAAAATAACTTTATTTAGGTTAAAGATGAGCTTTGAATCGCTTTTAAATCATAACCCTTCCAGGAAAGGAAAATGTGCCTAAAATGTCAGTATTGGGAACTTCAGCTTCTTGAGGTTGTCTTGTTTCAGCAGTTCATTTGCCAGAGTTTTTTGATGTGTTTTGTTGTATAGACAAACTTGGTATATGCAAAAATCTCTACCTATACCTGTATGTCAAAAGTAAGATGTTCCAAAGAAGATGGTCCAGAATGTAGAAATGTGTTACCATTCAGTTTAGGCAACTGCACTTCTTATTCTCTATAATTGCATTTGATTATTTGCAGACTTTATTTTTTAAATAAATTTCTTGTTATCTGTTGAAAAGTTTAACTTGTTAACTCATCTCCGTGCCTTTAAAAAAAGTTTGAAAGAATCTGGATGTTTGAAAATCCTGTTGAGTTGTATGTTTCTGATGCTGCTGTGTAAAGTGAGCGTCTATTACAATTTGATATTAAAAAAACTTATATAATAGAGCCCCCACCAGGTCTTGTAAATTTTGACCGCTCTTTGTAACTTCCAAAACAGCAATAAAAGCTTGAACTATTAACACTATTCCAAATATTCTTCTGCAGAAATGAGATTCATTATGCAATGACACATGATGTGTGAAGTAATAAAATCAGCAGAGCAGAGACAAATCAGAGACGTTTAGGGTTCCAGTCATGCGAATGCTTTCCTTTGAGCATAACTGCAAATTAGTCAAGAAGTTTAACCACTTAAGTCACAAAAGTACAAACACTGCTGGATGAGGGGAGGCCTAAATGCTCCACAAGGTCTAAAATTCTGCACTGCTTGAAGAAAATCGATGTGCTGAAACAGTAACTTGTTCTCAGCTGATGTTATTCTCCAGCCTGAAACCTCATTGCTGTGGCTTTAGAACTTATGAATCCTTATTTTGCTCCTATATGTCTTTGTCTGACAAACACTTCTGAAAGTAATTTCCCCTTTAGGTTTAAGTGAGGTAGTTTTTTTGTTGTTTTTTGTTTTTTTTTTTTTTTTTTTTTTTTTTTTTTTTAGACAGTGCTGTTGTCATTAAATTCTTACCATTTTTTTTTCCCTCCTAGCCCATCATTCCTATGTTTACACAAAATGTTCGAGAAGGCATTAGGACATTAGGAGGAATAAGTAAGATATTTTATATATTTGTTTGTAGTCTATTTTTTCCATGCGTGTTTAGTCTATTTCTGTAGAAGTAATCTCTGTATAATTCTGAGATTTGACACAATCTTGTTTCTTGAAGTTTACTCTCTAGTAGAGTTAAATGAGATGGATACATGTTATTGTAGTTGAACACCAGCAGTAGATGTAGTATTTGCTCCTGTAAGTTATTCTCTGCATAGCAATGGGCCTTCATGTAAGGAGTAGAAGAGAGGAGGAAAAAATGAGCCAGAACAAAGGCAAATACATTAAGACTTTTTTTTCCTCTCTATTTATATCTGCTAGGCCAACTCTAGGCTTTCTGCTGCCTGTTAAGAAGCAAAGGAAACATAAAGGTTTGCAACCGACAGCCAATTTCTTTAAATGTCCTCTTAAAGCTCTGTGCTGAAAATCTCTACCTGTACTTAAACTTCAAATGGTTTGAAGTACAAATAATACATAGTTAGCTTACTATTTGCCACAAAACCTTGTATTTGCATGCTGTCTTCCTCTTTCCTCACCTCTTTAGGAGTTCCAGTCGACACACTAACAGGTGGATATAAGCCTAAAAGGTCCTCCTCTAGGATGGTTAGATGCCCACATCTCTGCAGATCTGCTAGTGTCAAACTCCTCTCTTTTTCATTCTTCAACGTGCTCTTTGGCAGAGAGGGCCAAAACAGTCTCTTCCACTCAGTGTGTTCTGTCTCAAATGTGGCATAATCATGTTCATCAGAAGACTGTAGGGCAAAGCAGTTCCCTACCTCTCTACCCTCTAATTAGGAGCAATACATTGTGCGGAGAAAGGTCAGGCATCAATGTAGATAGGCAAAATGATTCACATTCTTCAGGCCCTACCAAAATAAAAAGCAATTAACTGTTGCTGTGCTCGGGAGAAGTGCTAGGGTTTGCAGGGCCTCAGACTAATCTGAATCTTCCCCAACATGCTACTTGTATTCTACAGCAGAGGTACTAAAGGGGTTAACTAACATGCTATTAATTGCTGGAAGTATTACTCCAGTTTCAATAGTTTTGGAATATTCTTTGTTCTTACAGGCTGTATACAGAAGAAATCACATCTGTCAGTAAGGACTTTCTTATACCAACACTCTATTGAAGGAATTTCTTGTCAAAAATTGAGAGAAATTCTCACCTTTTCTGGGAGAAATGTGTTCTGTTGATGCTTGGGATAGCTGCCGAGGAAATGGCATGAGAGAGAAAGAGCAGAGCAGACTGAAATAACCTGTTTTTTTTCCCCTCTGTGTGTAGTGTTTCCCTGCAACCAGTGTGTGGTCAGAAAGAGCAAGTTCAGCATTGTAGCCTTTTAGGTAGATACGACTGTTTCTGATCCTTTGGACCTAGGTGGGATTGAAGAGAACAGTTTTCCAGCAATGCTAGTTTCTTATGCTAAACTCTAAGATTAGCTGAATTGTAACCTGGATTGTGTCGCGTTCCCTTCCTCCTCAGAGAGGCAGCTACTGGATTTTTCTCCTGTTCTTCTCTTTGCAGGTATTCTTTGGAGAGATTTCACTCTAAGTGAAACAAGTCTTACAGTAGCATTAATACAGTTTTTATTAAATGAAAGTCAAGGGTAGAATAGCACTTGCAATGACATGCGGCTTTGAGAAGCTGGGGCAAGGGCTGGCTTACCAAACAAACCAGTTTAAGTTTTAAAACATACTGGGGAAAAAAACTTATGGAATAATCTTAATTTTTTCTCTCTCTCTCTCTCTCTCTCTCTCTCATTAGAAATATTTAGGTCACTATATGAGCATCTGAGATTGCCAGTAGTTCCTATGTATGGTGGATTTCCAGTCAAGCTTCGTACATTTATTGGAGATCCCATTCCATATGATCCAAATGTAACTGCTGAGGAATTAACTGCAAAGGTAAGATAATGTGTGTGTGAGTATTATGCATATGTGTGTTTATATACATGTGTGTGTATGTGTGTATATATATATATATATATGTATGTATAATTTAAAATCTGCTCTAATACAAAACACTAGAATATACTTGTCAGGATAATGACTTTTGCCTGGGAGCTAGTTACAGAAGTTGATGGAATCATGAAAAATTTTGGATTTACTGTGAACTCTGAATGCTCCTCCTAAATACTGTCTTTTATAACTGGACTTGCAGAAACTGTAGGCCTTTTAATGTCAATACTGTATGCTGTATTTGCTCCGAGAAACAACTCACTTTAGAGCCTGAAGAAGTTCAGTCAGATAAAAGTACCTCCACTTACTGCTCTGGATTGGTAAAGAAAGTCAATGAGCACTTCTCCCAGGGAAAGCATTCTTTTTTTTAATCTTCTAAGCAAGATACTAATGAAGCCTTCCAAATTTAGTCAACCTGTGGTTGCAAATTGTGGAATTTCCATACAATAGAGCAGCTAAAGCCAAATCATTTCACAGCTTTGCAAAGTCTATTTCCATTTCTATTTCCTCCAACTTGTCATGCAACAAATTTATTTGTGAATGCTCCCTTCTTCAAACTGAGGTCATTTATAGAGAGAATTGTCAGGTTTTCATGTTCCTTTAGTTTGTGAATAACTTTCATATTGCAGAGGCACAAAGCCAGTAAGTCGTGGAACAGTCGGACTAGGGGGGAGGTTTGAAATATCCATTTTTGAAAGCTTCACAGATGATCATTGTTAGCATTGTGAAAACTTCACATGAAGGGAAATAAACTTTTATTTTTGACCATGCCGGTATCAGTTCAGTTGCCTCTCGTTACCTTTTTTATCCTCTGATAAGATCTATGCAAAATGACATCTTAAAATATTCATCTGCATTATCCTATGACCTGTTTATGGAAAAGTGAGTGTTTCTGCTGGGGTTTACACATGGCTCCAGTCTGACAGAGCTTCTGAATTGCTGGCTTTTGGGAGAGTAGGTCTGTTTAAATGACATCCAGCCGTGCTTGGAGTCTTACCTTAATGCCCACTCTCACTTGCTTCTGTCTTAAATGCAAATTCTGCTAGGTAATGCCCTTAAAGTGTGAATTCCCTGCTATCCTAGTTCAAGTGATTCTAGTGTGTTTCAGACTGTGGCATAGTATGTAGTTTCCCATTATGCATAGCTAAAATGTGAGCTTATTTTTTTCCTAATAGAAGCTTTAGATTTGTAAAGGCACTTGGGGTCAGATCCATAGAGACATGGCAGGAATCTGCTCCCAAGATTTTACAGTTTAACGCACATTTCATATTAGCAGTAAGAGTTTGTACCAAAACTTACTTTTACTTTTACACTCTCAAGTGAGTGTGCTAATCACTGGTTTACAAAAGGCAGATAGGTTTCTGTTCTGTCTCTGGCCTTAAGAATTGACTTGTCTTTGTTTCTCTAGGCACAACAGGAAGGTTACTGCGTGTCCTCACCATAACTTTGCATATTGCCCTGGATTTGAGTGTTCCCCATAGAGCTATTATATAATAAGAATGGCTGCTATTAACTTCTTGGCCTGCTACACTTTTGAGTGAAAGTGAACGTTGCTGTCATATGCAGTATTTTAAGTGTGATCTAAGCATGCTTTACTGGACTTGCTCCTTTAGGGGACTTGGGTGCAGGGATAATTACTTTGTAAAAGCCAAGTGGACAAAAGTAGAAGACAACTGTGTTTCCAGTGCTGCTTTTGAGCATATGTAGAAGTCCTTGCACACTGAAGAAGTGCTACTGCTGCAAACGTGGGCATTGACAGGAGTTTCTGGGTTGCACTACAGTACACAGGCACTGACATGTTTCTGGATCTAGGTCTCTTCATTAGTTTACTGTGTCATCATTTTACTATTGCATATCACTAGTAGAGCTTGTAAACACAGTGAACACAGCTGCTGAGGAGCTTGGAGATAAAACATTATCTCCATGGGTTTGTTTCTTGACAGTGATCCCACAAACACATCCTGTGGGCATAAATATGAAGAAATAGTATTTTGGTCTTGCAGTAGTTCTGCAATATTTGAAAGGATGAAAAATAGCTCAGAAGTTGTTTCCATATTCCAGCAATATAAAGATGATATTTATTTTGTCTACAACTTCTCTTTTTCCTTACAGGCAAAAGCTGCAGTCCAGTCTCTAATAGACAAACATCAGAAAATACCTGGAAATGTATTTAGGGCTTTAATGGAACGGTTTCAGACACGACAGAAAGAAGATTAAGGTGCTCTGAATAAACTACTATTTAGTTATAATATTCTCAAAGTCATACTTGTAACTTATTAACTCTTCTAATAACAGGTTTAAAATACTGCCCTAATGATACTGCTGTATAGTTTGTGATGTAAGACACCTTCCTTTGCTCTTCCCCTTGTCCAACATCAAGCTCAAGAGCCCAGACTTTAAATCGTTCATAATGGGGCAAAACTTAATTCTTGGCAAGTACATTCCTATCTTGAAAGTATTTCTGTAAAAATGACACAGCAAGTCTTAATGTGTATGGTCTCTCTCTCTCTCTTTCTCTCTTTCTCTCTCTCTCTCTCTCTCTCTTTCTTTCTCTCTCTCTCTCTCTCTTTCTCTCTCTCTCTCTTTCTTTCTTTCTCTCTCTCTCTTTTAAACCTGTGGTTGCTGTTTAACGTGAACGTTAGACCCTCTGTAGAGCTAGAGTCCTACTGTCTGGAGCATCATCACTAGAGTTGTTTTGCATGCCAGGGTAAACTATACCGCTCTTATGAACACTTCCTTTAGGTAGTTACTGTTGAACTTCTGAAAAATATACTGCTGACAGTAGCAGTGAGCCTTCAGTGCAGAACCTCCAGCTATACCTGTAAAACCTGGAAAATACTTTGCAGTAACGTGGAAAGTTTTACTGAGTATACTCAAAAAGAATTCACAGCTGTGGATTAGAGCTGTAGTGAACCAAGCAAATTTGTTTCAGAAACTGCTCAGAGCAGTGAATCAGAACCCTATAGTGCAGTCGCTCTTTTAAGTAGAACCATATTGCATGTTACTCCTGAGTAAAGAGTATATGTTATCCCATATACTTCTTACTGAATCCGTAAATTCTCCTTTGACAAAATGAACCAAGCATTTGAACTTTTAAAAACAGAAATATGAGTCCCATTTAGTACCATGTGTTCAGAATGCTTTATTTTGAAGGAAAGAAATGAAAAATTAGCACAACTTGTAACACTTCTTTTTAGAACAGTGGTTCTTTTGAAAAACAGGGTAAACATTCCCAAATACCCTTTAAATCTAGTATATAATCTGCTAAATATCCATGTGCTTCAAACATAATTTTTATGTTAAGTTACTATATCAGGTTGAGAGGGAAAGCTTATATACTTTCCTTAAATAAAAGCCATTGAGGAGTTGCAACAGGAGGAGTTGCAGGGTCGGGCTTGTGTGCTCTCATAGCATATTACGTTTTTTTCTGAACTAAAGCCTATGCTTTTATTGTCCAAATAGGAGTATCTGAAATATTTCCTCTGATTGCCAGCAAGTTTAATCTACAGTTTCTAAATTAGCATCTGGGAACTCTTTAGCTGTGGGATGAGATCAGATTCCTTAAGGAAAGGCAACAGGCATTTTTGCTTTATTATGTGATCTCCTTTCAATAGTGTTGAATTTTTGACCTTTTCTTAACAGACAAAAACGGACAACAATTTGTTTTTAAACAGCAATTGTATTCCAGTTGTTATCTATTCCTCCAAACACTTAAGCATATGCTTTGCCTTATACTCCTTCAGTTGTGTAATCCCATGGATTTTAAACAGTGGATATCCCATGGATAAGTGCATGAGGATGATGCCCTATGTTAGAATAAAATCACTGACTCGGAAAGAATCTATAAATGATGATCTGCAAAACACCAAAAGTACACACATTAAATAGGTGATTTTTTTTTTTAATATATCAAAAGCATTTTATGTGGTGCTGGATTAAATGTTTTAAAGCTTGGGGAAAAATCATGTTAGGTAAAAAGAAATGCCCATTTCAGAGTTTTTTTTTTGTTTGTTTTTAATGATTTGGGTTTCACTTGAAGACAAGATTATGTCCTTTAAGTTATTGGAATATATTTCAAAAATATTATGTTAACACAAAATATCATTAAAACTGAGAATGCTAAAATGCTACATCTGAGTACAACTTAAGTATGACTTAGTTTTTACGGTCCAGCTTGAGGAAAGTGTAGATCAGTCTATACTGTGAAATTCTCAAAGGCGACTAAACCATACTTTAATGTTGTGGTTGCATATATGTAGAAGAAAACTCAATTTAAAGGGTTCTATTAGATGTGAACAGACCTTTGTGATCTTAGATTTTGTAAAATTTATTTTACTAAATTTGAGGGCCGTGTTTAATGCAACTTTTGCCCCTTTAAGTACAAAGACAAGTATCAAAAGTCAAGTGCAGTATTGGTACTCTTTAGATGTTCATATTTGTATTTGTATAGACCTTTCATATTTATATTTAAAAATGTATAGAAGACACCTTCCAAATAAAATTGACAACTAGAACAGGCTTCTGGGATTGTGTTGTGTTTTTGAACTAAATGAAAATATAGTGCTGTGCGCTGTTGAACTATCAGCGCTTCTGAGCAATATGTAATACCCTTGAGAAGCTTTTCTTGCCTAGAAGAAGCCCCAAGAGGAATGAATTAAAGGAAAAATAATTGAGACAGTAGTGAAGTAATGGACAGAAGTCACATAAATGATATATCTGAGTTTTAATAGTTCTAGAGAGTGTCAAAGGAGGCCTTCTCAGGCACTGCAATACTACTAAAGTTGTTCTTAAGATTCCACACAGAAAGTAAATAGCAAAAGTGAAAAATTAAAATGTATTTGTACAGATTTGGTGGGTGAGTGATTATCTACCTTGTTTCTTTGAAAAAGAGGGGAAGTCTGGAGAGAGGCTCTTACAAATAAGCTTATGGACCAGGCTTTTTTTTAGCTGGTTTCGTTTACTGCTTGTTAGGCAGAAATGCTTAAAGGAAATTTTAACATCAGTAGACTAGATAGCAAATTATGTCATTATGTATTATATAAAGCCTTTGGATTTACTGAAGACTGTCCAGGCTTGTCTTTCTCCTATTTTAGCCTCTTCCATGCAAACAGCATAACTGGGACATTCATTTTTAGCTTGTTTGGAAATAGAGGTAGACTACTGTGCCAACAGGTATTTAGCATTGCCTCTCAGCAAGACCCAAACCTCCTACTGGCCAGTTTACTGTCTTGTGCAATAGCAGACCACAGTCCGAACATCTGTTATTAGGATGTTTTTGTATGAAATTAGCCACCACAAATGCAAGTTAGAGCAGGTTGTCAGCATTGCCAACGCAGTTGTGCAGTTCATCTAGTGTTGGGTTCGCTATGCAAGTATCCCATTATGTTTCTTCATCCTATTACTCTGAAGAGAAACATGCAGATATGGTGACTTTTAACTCTTGCTAGCCCTACAGTGCTTAATCCCTATCAAGCTAGTCATATATGCTGAATTGCTTTTTGGATGTTATTTTTGCACCAAAAAAGAAATATGCCAAAGATAAATGTAGGGATGTATGGAACTGGTGCATGAGTGTAATAGCACAGAAAATACATGGTAAGCAAGATAATCCTCCAAAACGTTTCTACTAAAACTTCATCAGACAATCTGATGGCACTTTTCTTAGTTCTGTTCGCTTCACTTTCTGTCTACTAAGGTCTTTACCAGCAACAAAGATAATGTGCTTCTGTGGTACAGATCGGTGATGCTAATGCCTTTTTCTCTAGTTCAGAGGTAGCCAAAATGAATGGTGGTCTCAACACAAATAACTTTTCTCATCGTGGGTTATTTGCAGTGTTTACTTGTTTGCTTTTTTGAATAAATTTGTTTTGCACAGACACTGTTTGCGAACTCACCACTTACTATCTTGAATTTTTGTTGCAACATACATTGAACACATGCCATATCTTGCTTCTTGAAGTATATTTTTAATTGTTATAATGATCTCTCCGTGTCAGAAAATTGGCCACAAATGTAATAAATTTTTGAATTGTAAGGAGATTCTTTTTCTTAAAAGTGTATGCTTCTGCTTGGTCTGTGTGTGTGTGTGTGTTTGTCTAAAACGGTACAAGCAGATAAGATGCAATTTAGAATTAACATCAAGCTGTATATATAAGGCAGGCTCAGCTTTTTTCTCCTCACTGTGCAGCTTAGTTGTTGGAAAGCAGGTCTATTCTTCTACAGCCATCACATAAGAGTAAGACCATCAGTCCCTAGCTTTCCTATTAGTAGCTATAACTGGAGAGAGTGCAAGGAGGGATTGCTTTAGCTCCTATTTTCTAGCTAAAACCACTGCAGACTCTAGAAAAAGAGATGCCAAACTTCTACACAAAACACTAAAGAGAATATTGTGTTATTCAGGGAAGATCTTAAAAGTTAACAAAAAAACTTTAAAAAAGTTAAAAGGCAAGAAATTGAACTATTTTTACTTAGGTCCTGTTCTTGGGAAACAAAATGTACCAAACATGGGGGAGGGTAGAATTTTGCAGTTTTTTGTCATCTTTACAGATTCTCTATAAGAGATACAGATAAGATCAATCCTGTTGCAGATATGCCTGAGCTGGAGCCTTATGTATTCCAGACTGAGTTTTACTTTTTTGTTTTCACAGAATCGTTTAGGTTGGAAGGGACCTCTGGAGATCATCTAGTCCAACCTCCCTGCTCAAGCAGGGTCCTCTAGAGCATATTGCCCAGGATCACATCCAGACGGGTTTTGAATATCTCCAGGGAAGGAGACTCCACTACCTCTCTGGGCAACCTGGTCCAATGCTCTGTCACCCTCACAGTGAAGAAGTTTTTTCTCAGGTTCAGATGGAACTTCCTGTGGTTCAGTTTGTGCCCATTGCCTCTTGTCCTGTTGCTGGGCACCACTGAGAAGAGGCTGGCCTCATCCTCTCGACACCCTCC